AGACTCTCCAGCTGGCGAAGCTAGGGACAGCTCTCAAACACGCTGGGGGGACAGTCTGCCAAAAGGCCCGAAGCTTGATTTGCACACAGTCCTGGGGTGACTGTAAGAACCCCTTCAATCTTGGGGTGCCCCTGGGCATGAGGGCCAGGGGTACTGGAGAAGCTGTTGAAGGGGATGGTGTTGTTTTTCGTGTGGTGAAAGTGGAGAGTGAGGGGCAGCGTCTGTGGGATCTCCCCCCGTCAGTGTCATTAACAGGTGCTCGCTGTAAATAGCACAGGGTGAGGCCATGTCTCACACACCCACACACACTGAGAGACTCCCAGCCACACACTCTGAGAGACATACACACACTGTGAGAGACACACAAACACACTGTGAGACCAGAGACACACACACTGTGAGACCAGAGACACACACACACGCTGTGAGAGACACACACGCTGTGAGAGACACACGCACACACGCTGTGAGACCAGAGACACACACACTGTGAGACCAGAGACACACACACACGCTGTGAGAGACACACACACACACTGTGAGACCAAAGACACACACGCTGTGAGACCAGGGACACACACGCTGTGAGAGACACACGCACACACGCTGTGAGAGACACACGCACACACACTGTGAGACCAGAGACACACGCACACACACTGTGAGACCAGAGACACACGCACACACACTGTGAGACCAGAGACACACACGCTGTGAGACCAGAGACACACACACACACTGTGAGACCAGAGACACACACACACACACACACTGTGAGACCAGAGACACACACGCTGTGAGAGACACACGCACACACACTGTGAGACCAGAGACACACACACACGCTGTGAGAGACACACACACACGCTGTGAGACCAGAGACACACACGCACACACACTGTGAGACCAGAGACACACACACTGTGAGACCAGAGACACACACACACGCTGTGAGAGACACACACACACACGCTGTGAGACCAGAGACACACACGCACACACACTGTGAGACCAGAGACACACACGCTCTGAGACATACGCACACACCCTGTGAGTCCAGAGAGACACACACGCTGTGAGACACACGCACACACACCCGGCAGGCGCAGGCAGTAGCAGCAGGGGGGTCCGCAGCCGTCTCTCAGTCCGAGAGCCCGAGACTCTGCACAGGTCAGCCAGGACCGCCAGCATGGCGCCGCGGCGCGCGGGGTGTCATCGCCGTGGTTGCGTGTGCCGCCGTGGCCAGTC